CTCTCATGGCTAAACATTTGGATGCTGTTGTTGCTGTCCATTTATTTAATCACTAAATCAAAGCTAAATCAAATGGCCTAGGACAGGAGGAAAGGACAGGGATAGGAGATTCGGCTAAAAGAGATTTGTACAAGTAGCTAAACATGACCCAGCTCTTCTGGAAGCCTCTTTTACCACTAAGTTTTGTATGCTATGAAATCCAGCCGTAGAAGAACAGGCATTACATTTACTGCTTTTTAAAGATCGTATCAGACTTTCCAAAGTATCTCCCATATAATCTTATCAGTTCTCCACTGAAACCAAAATCTAACATAATTACTCCTCCTCCAAACCTTGTAGCAAGGCACTCTGGGGAGTGTTTATTCACATCAGTGTTGGCTGTCCTTTACCACCAGTGATAATCCTTGAGCAATGCTTTGATGAAACATTGTAAAAGGCACAGCAAAGTTACCTAGCCTCTGTCTGTGCTGACCTCACCATCTGTACAAAAGGCACTGTCCCAGTGAACATAACAGCAAACAAAAGAATCATATAAAGCTGGCTGAACTGTTTAGGGAAAATAAAAAAGTTATTTGTAACCCTTAACAAGCTCATAGCAACCAGATGACATCATAATTTACTGGCTACTTTACACTGTGCAGTCCCTAAAACTAGAGTAAACAGTGCATAGCAAGAGTGATGCTTGGCTATTTATTTTCTCACCAAACAATTCTGAATTACAAATGCACAGAGGTGTGGGGTTGGGTTTTTTGTTTCTTTGTAAAACTATTTTCCTTTAAGATATCTCAGGGAACAAACAAACAAACTCCACCCTGCTATTTCATAAATTGTACTAGATTCAAAGGTTGGCTCAAAGATTTTGTTCGCTTAAGCCTGCCCAATTTTCATTGCATCTTTTCAATCACACAGCCTCTTCATTCTTTCTTGGAAGCCAGGACCCCTATGAGGCCAAAACTCTCCCCAGCAACATCAATTTCCTGTTCAAACTCAGAGTTTTTAATCTGTCACCACTACAACTAGCATTATATGCTAAACATCCTTATTCCAGAGTCCCTGCTACTTGAAGTATGGGAAAAGTCAGTGAGTCAGTGATGCTATGTTTAAAATTTACAGATACTCCATACTGCAGAGGCACTGCAGCTTTCTAAAGAAAGAAAGATACCCAATTTACACATTTTTCTGAAAGTAAAATATTTGAGGCTTTAAAGTACCTTATTTTTCCTGAGTCCCTAGGAAAAAAAAAAAGAAGAAAAAAAAAAAAGGATGTTTCCCACCTTTACACTTTCATGCCTTCACAAAGACACACGGATCACACCCCCCTCTATCTCCTTTGTCAGTTCATACAAAGTCAACATTCATCCTTCTGGAGAGACTTCTCCAGTGACCACTGCAGCTCTCACATCACTCAGACACAGAAGAGCAGCAGATTCATGCCCACCATCTCAGACACATTCACTGTAGCACCACAGACAGCTGTGTTCCCACCTTGTGAAGACCCTCCCCGGCTACCTTGATCACCCTAGTCTCTCCAAGTTCTCTTCCAACATGAAACTGGTGCTAGCTCCTTCCATCATCTGAACAGCTGCCTTCGTGTGCCTCAGCTTCCCTTGTTTCAAGCTGGAAACGCTTAGCCCTCTTGTTTCTTCTCTCTGCTATTTGTGCTAGGTCCCCCTCCCCACCACAGGCCTTCAGCACACGCTCACAGACATTCCTCCTTCTCCTGGCACTACTGCAGGCCTTAGGAGGACTTCACATTTATTTTCTCAGAGATCATCTGGGGGCTTTCCCTCTGCAACCACAAGTTGGCCTCCTGGTAGAAGAGAGGGCTTGAAGTAGACAGGAGAGAGAGCATCTCTGCTTAAAAAGCCTTAGTTTTGTCTCATCTTGCTAAAGCCCCCATCACCCACACACCTCTCACATTATTCAGAATGCAGCTCCAGGCCACCTTGAGACCAGAAATAAGCCCCCCTTGTCATCATGAAGCCATAACAAGCCCATAGCAGCCGTGTGCTGTCAGAGGCAGTGCCCAGGAACCCCAACCATGTCTCCTGGGCCTTAGAGAACTCAGGCAACTGGGGAAGCACAAGGCTCATAGAGGATAGCAGAGACTAGTTTACTTAAAGACCAAATAATTTTTAGGGTTAAAGCACTCAGGTTTTGTCAAGCTATTTATTGGTTTTGAGAAGAAGTGGCATAAAATAAACTAATTTATAGTGGTCTGTTGAAGGATCTAAGGAACTCCCTGAGCCTGCGTTCTCCATACAGATCTCAGCAATTCCTACTCAAAGGCAAGTCTGTTGTAGCTACCATAAGAATAAATGCAGTAACACCTACACCTCCATCAAGCAGCACACAAAAGCTTTCTTCCTGCTTCACTTGCCTGGAAAACTCAGACAGAAGGAGGCTTGGCTCTCACAAAGAGCATATCAGCCACCTCACATGCAGCCTGTCTGTATTACAACCGGGTTCTTCTCTTCTAGAGGCTCTCAGAAGAGGGTACAGCATCTTAAGCTATGAGCAGATTGTTTGTACTCTCCCTCTCAGCTGATTAACATTATCTGGGCATTTCTGTACTTGACCTTCATTATCCCCAAGTCAGTGTCTGGAATACATATTTACCACCAGCCACACAGCTTGGTACAACTGTGCTCAGGGGAGAGGCAAATTTGGGTCCTGTACACACTTTGCCTCTAGCTGTGTGGAAAAAATGTCTTACTTACTTTCTTTCAAGGGGATGTTTTTATTGTAGTTATTAACATTTCAAATGTTGTTCATGGGGGTGTATAATCAATGGGCATTAAGATGTTATAATCACAAAAGAACAAGAGAGGTAAGCAAAATAGACTAAGATAATAAAGGGAAAATAAATGGAAGGCTTACCCATATGCTAGGCTCACCTACAGAAAACACCAGAAGAGGGGATCTCCAGACAAGATCTTTCCCCACTGGTAGCCAGCTCTTAAATAGGTCTAGGAGGAGCCTGGCTCCACCCCTTCCTGCAGCACAGATGAGTTGCCTTCACCTGTGCTCCTGTGGCTGACTCATGGCTCACCTCAGGTGATCAATCAGAGGTTCAGGCCGTGACTCAGCAGCTCCCATACAGGGAGGCAAGGCGGGGGAGACGTTTGCTTTAGTTTCAGGTTGAAACTTATCTTCTGTTGAAATTCCAGATGCTGGAAGCAAGTTACAGAACAACAGTATTTTTCAGCTTAAGACAAAAAGCTAACAGATAAAGTAATAAGACAAATAATAATAAAAACAATAAAAAAAAATGCATGGCCATTAATTTCAGTGAGACAAATAATAATAAAACCAGACAAAAAAAAAAAAAAAACAAAAAAAAAAAACCCACAACAACCATTGATTTTGGTCTTAATCAACTTTGTTTGCATAACGCTGCATTCTTGACAAAATGAAGGATTCTGCCTAAACAGCTGCTCTACCTGCTCTGGTTTCCCAAATTATTGCACGGCCAGGAGTTTGAACTGCAAAGATATGAGAAGAATGCACTTTATGAAACAAAGCACAACAATGAGGAAACTATAGTGCTGGGTTACCAGTGCAGGTTTTTCAACAGCTGCTGGTAAGAATGCCTTTCTCAAGTTTCCTCTCGCCTTAATCTTGCTCCATGGAGCAGGATATGTGAAGGAATACCAGTTGTGCATGAGGAGGCTTTTGGACTTTAATTTCCATCCAGGACGTTTTGGGTTGTGCTAGTGAAGGCTTAGGGCTAGGCTGTATTGGCTCCCATCACATCTTCCTCTGCCTCCTGAGAGCAGCTCAGAGGTGGAAGGAGAGACCTAACACAGTGAGGTTCAGCCAGCAACAGCTAGATTCCATATGGGTTATCGTATCTTCTGCCTCTTTTATTTGCCCATAATGGGAACTCTGGTTTAGTAACTGCATATTAAGCCCAGACACAAACAACTTAGATCATTCATGTGAAAATGGAATAATAACAGCCTTGCTTTGTACTTTTGCACTCACACAAGCATTTTTCACCAGAAGCTTTCAAAATCAGTAGGCTTCCACTTACATGTATCCCACAGAAATAGTGCTCTTCTTGTTACCCTAGAAATACACACATTTTTTCTTACATAATACAGAACAGTTTAAGCTCTAGAGTTCACAGTCTAAGTATACAGATTAGACAAGAGAAAGGTAAAACATCTTGCCAGAGATAAATGATGAGACAAAAACACTTCCACTCTCAGGTCCCACCACCACCCCTTGCTGGATCATACAGTCTTGCACTGCTTTACTTTCTCCAGACATTTTCAGTGAAGCCATACTGAGCTGAAAGATGATTCTTTTGGGCAACTCACACTAATCTTAGCAGGCTTTATGACCTCTTGAAATAGTTTTGTTGCTTTCTTTGATTTAAAACCAACAGAATTAATTCTTCAAGGGTAGAACACATAGGTTGCAAGAAGGAGATAAGGGTACATCTGCAACTAAAGGACTATTCTGACTATTTAAAGCTGTCTTACAGCATTAACAAACATACAAAATCACTTGATCCCTCAGGCACCTCCACTGTACTTGTTTAGCTCTTGATGGCAACACACTCAGGGTTTAGTCAAATTCTGAAATCGAGAAGCAGTTTCCCAATGTGCTGCTTCAGTTCAAAGAAACAACTCAGACTCAGCCCACAGAAGCTAAAGAGGACAGAACCCCATTTTCCATGCCGTACCATAGTGTTCAGCACAAAGTCTGAAATGAATTATATGATGACCTGCATCCATTCTCATTGCAGAGCAGCATGGCAACCCTCTTAATGCTGAGTGGTTATTATTTGAATTTATTCAAATGAAAAATAGTTTGAAAAGTGTAACGGCTGGTGATTTTCATAGCTCATCTCTCAGAAAAAATAATTAGGACAACTAAAAGCATTTGGAATTTAGTCAATCTTTTGTCAAAAGGGGAAACATTACTAGGAATAACAAAAGTTTCTAGCTTTCAGTTCTGAAGCAGTAATTTCCTTTGAGGTAGACTTTTGAATAAAATTAACTAAATAGGGACAAATGGGGACAAAATCATAGAACAGTGAGCATGGAAGACTTCTTAGGACTGAAATATCTGAGCTTGATCTGTACAGGAGGGATCCCAAAATACAAAAAGCCATCATGACTCACATAGGGTCATTGCAATTTACCCCATATGCCAGGTTTGTGGGTTCAGGTTCACACACTGTTAAATAGCTCTCCCTTGCACACAGAGGATGGGTGACCCCGTGTCACAGCTGCCCCAGCTACCTGCAGATGTGCTTGTAGAAGAGCCTGTCTCAGAGGAAGGCAATTTCAGCTGGGAGGAGGATTTGAGAGGCCAGATTGCCCCTCCTCCTCATCCTCCCCCCCATCCCCCCAGGATGGTTTGAGATCTTTTTGTACATTGTCACAGCCAAAAGACACAGAAGCAGGTCCAGGAAGGAAACCAGAATAGCTGTCACAGCACTCAGTGCAGTCACTCCTCTGATTTTCCAGGCATTGCTCAGAAAACCATTTGAAGAAAGAGGGCCCCTGTGGGCAACAGCGGGCTCTGGACCAGGCTGAGGCCAGATGTAACTCATCTTTCTGTACAGACACAGGGCAACAAGAGACAAATGTGAATGAGAAACCAAATTTCCTCTTGTGACACATTAAAAGAGTCCCTGTAAAAGGGGACAAAAACAATTCTTCTAATAGTTACCTTTTTATTACTTTTTTATCCTCCTCCATTAGAGGGGAAATATGAGGGAGGAAGGAAAAAAATGATTTTTTCAGCTTGTCATGCAAGCTGCCAGCCATTCCAGGCTGGTGGTGTCCCCAGGTCAGGGTGAGCATTCTTCTAGGAGTCACAGATAGAGGACTCCTAGAAGCCCCTTGCAAATATTCCCCAGCACCTTACTGAAAAGTGCACGGGTCTCAAGAAGAGGGCAGTCATGCCAGCTTGTTGGGACAGGTCCTTCTACAAGTGCAGCCAACTCCTCTCGAGAGCTGGCAAAACTGAACAAGTCCCACAAACTGCTTTGGATCTGTTGAATTAGCATTACCAATGAAAAAATGATGTTGTGCTGGATAATTTTTCCTCAGCTCTTGTTGCATGATACAGATAACTAGAGAGTGGGGCAGTCATTATTACCCCATGCAAATATTTATACCATCTCACACAGGAGACACAGTAAGAACTTGTAGAATGAGCTCTGGAGACTCTGACCCGCATGCTGTTATACACCTGTAGCACTAACACATGAATAGTTGAGTAGCAGGATAACACCAACTCCTGCAGAGGGAATGCGGGCAGAGATCCCACAAGTTATGCCTGAAAAAGAGCTGATTGAGGTTGCCGTGTTTTGTCCGTGTGTAAATTTACAGTTGGTGGCATTTTCCACTGTGAGTATCATTGTTAAGATTTTAGAATTGGATTGTAAAAAAAAAAAAGCATTTGACTGAAACTTGCCATTCAACTTCTCATCATCAGAGTATCAGGGTAAAATACCATTCTGTACCAAGAATGAAAGGAGAAAGAGAGAGAGAGAGAGAGAGAGAAAACAACAACATTTAGCAGGTTTTAAAATTATGCAGATATTTTTAATGGCTTTGGAGTATTCAGACACTCACTCATATGTCAGAAAACAGATTTGATTTATAGGAATGACATTTGGCAGAGCAATTAATCCATACTATGTTCTAATCGTGTTTGGTACTAGGAGAGGAAAAAAAAGTCAAACTTAGGTTTAAAGCTGACTGTGCCAGGAATTATTTTCAAAGAAGGCTTAGAAGGCTTTTTAGTAAGCTCAAGGACAAAATCTGGTCTTTTATTCTTTTTCTCCTCCACCACTCAACATGAGAATAAAGCCTGCATCCCATTTTTGAGTTGAAACAGTTAGACCTTGTCTCCATTGGAGGTGAAATGGGAGTCTGGATCTCTTTGGATCTCTGCTAGGTAGAAAAACCCTCTTTTCCACATGATTCCTCAACTTCAATGAGACTGTCTAAATGAAATCTTAGGAAGGAAACTATGGATGGTTCCTTAACAAAAACTCCATGTTTCATCAGGCAAAGCAGGGATTTGCCCTTGCGTGAATGCCATTTGAGGCACAGGTCTTGTTTTGTTAGAATCAAACTCTGATACGCCTCTAGTTTGTCTGCAAGTTTTCCATTTGTGACATGTTTCCAGAGATAGAAATATTCAGTTTATCACCTGGCACTGATTAGAGCTCTACCACCAGAGCATTTACACTTGGCTAAGGGGACTTCTCATTCCCCAAAGTGCAGAGCCACTACTTCAGGCACCTATGGTAGCTTCCATACAGCAGAACCCCTTGCCCTAGGCTGCAGCTTCCCTCCTGCGTGCAGGGTGGGACCTTCCTGGGACCTTGTCTCAGGCCCTGGAATCCTGTATCCCCAAAAGGGGGGTTCTGCTGAGACCGAACAAGCTTACCTAGGAGGTACAGCTGGGCTGCCACTTGGCCAGCAGGTCTTCTGACTGTTCTTGCTCCTCTTGCTATGTCCACAGCTGGACTGGTTTTGTACAAGCATGAGCCTCTGTTGCTTTTACTCCCATCCCTGACATTGATTTCTGCAGGGAGAAAAAACAATCCCATGTTTATCATCCAGTGTGACAGACATAGCCATTAAGAAAAGCTTCTCTGACAAATCCATTAGAGAATACAAGAGCAAGCACTACTACATGGTCGCTTTTCACTTACAGACTTTGCAGAAGCTGCGAGTTAGCTCATGCAGTAACTGCACCATGTCCAACACAGCACTAGTGCCAGTATGCCAGAGAAAAATCTCTCCTAGAGCCTATTTTGTCTCAGATCTTCCAGAATTAAAGCTGACAGCTGTTCCACAAAATACCAACGCTGGATATCTAATTGAATTTGAACCATGGATTGCTTTCTACCAATGGCTGGGCATTCACCAACAGACCTAAAAAATCTAGCTCTTCATGTGACTTTTCTCTTGTTTTTGTTGTTGGTTTAGATTATTATTTTTAAAACCACACCAATTCTAATAACACTGCTTCATATCCCGACTCTTGCTTAATTCATTCATAGATGAAAACCACGCTCCCTCCAGAATAGCTTTAAAAAGTCAAGCTTACACTTTTAAGGCAAATAAATAATTATTTTAGCAGATTGGCCTTAACACCTGCTATGAAGATTACAAAACCACTCACATTCTACCTATAACTCAATTTTCTCACACTCATAACTCAGAAAATATTTGCCTCTGGGTTTAATAGCTTCCATATTCTTTTCTGTCTGAAGATGTATCGTTAAATATTATTACTACTGGAGGTATGTTTGGGCAACGTCTCTCAGCCGTATTTGAATTAAAGGGAGAGAGAAGAAAAATTCCAACCAGATGCACTATTTTTGGAAGATGACTACAAAGAACAGCTGGCCTAAGCTAGCTTCTGCTGAAAATTATACCTCTAGGAAACAGCAAGGTAAGAGAGAAAAATTCAAAGACACTGAGGAGTGATTTTGAGACACGGTGTAGGAGCCACAGAGCCAAGAGCCAAGCACTGACCCAGCCCTGCACAGGTCTGTGCCCACTGCCAGCCTCACCCTGCTATCCCAGGCAGGCCAGTCCCCCAGCGCCGAGGGCAGCCCCGTGCTCGCTTTGCCCCCTCCCCACAGCCAGCCTTTATTTAAGTGCAGGCTTTGATCTCAGCTGGTGCTGCAAGCCACTCGCTCCACTTTCACTACGTAAAGGCAGCTGGTGGGTGGATTACCCAAGGCATGGATTCACAGATGACTTACAGTGCAAACACTGACAAAAAAAAAAAAGCCGCAAAGTAAATTTAGGGTATAATCACCAAATGTGGCATTTCAAGTGCCCTGCATTTTCCAGGGGAACATCTCAGGCTGTTGCACTCCCACACAAGTTGAAACTGGAGCAAAGATCCCAAAGCTAGCAATCCTACATGTGCAAGTATCTGGCGCCTGACCTGCTCAGCTGAGTCAAGACAAAGGCTCTTATTCGCTTCACTGGGCCACATTTCTACCTGAACTTGAAGTCCAATTAATATACTTTCACATAAAATAGAGTATTTTGCCGTGAAAACATTCAGTTATATCTTCCTGAAGCTTTATCTCAGATTTGATAGTTAATTGGTGCTTTTTCCTTGCGTTGACAGAGACAGACAGCATCTGAGTAGTCATTATTTCTCACACAAGTACACAAAACTGTAAGTGTTTCAGTTTTGATGTTACAACCGCTCACTGTCACCTCAGTATCTGCTGCTGCCAGTTTTTCCCTCACAAGCTCTTTGTCAGAGCGCTTATGTTTCTGCTGGAAGGCTTTCAAGTTCTCTTTGTGAGCTGAAATCCACATCGCACACATGCATACAGGCATGCACACACTCTGCTGTAAATATCATAAACAAATGATACCACAAGCCTTTTCAAAGCATCCTAAAGAGCTCTTCTCTTTCACAGGAAAATGTACATAGATCTTTATGAGGAAGCCTTACACGCTGATTTCTTTTTAATAATAGCAAATAGGTGTTTCCTCAAAGCCTGGGTTCTATTGAAGAAACACACTCCAGACTTCAGATGTGGCGGCATGTGGGTATTCTCTCTCATTTTAGAACTCAAGTTGCTATAACAACCTACGGCATCTGCTCAATCCAGTACCTAAGTGTCATTTTTGTTTTGTTCTTTCCTTTTGGGACTTCTATTCTTCTCAAGTCAAGTGCTTTGCTTTGGTTTTTATTTAAGGAGCTAGCTTATGCTCCAATGTCTATATGTAGAATGAGCTGAAAGAAGACAAAATCTGTGCTGAAAAGATCACAATTTCCAGAGTATCTGGCTGGGTGGGATGAGTTTAGGGCTGGGCCCAGTTCCTGACAAAGTGAAGATTCACCAATTCCTTACATGAACTTGAAATTAAGTTCTACGACACGTGAAAGGGGAGAGATCTCTCATGAGTAATGGACAAATTATGGACACTCCCAAGGAGCTAGAACAAGAGGCAAGAGATGGAAATCCAGCCTTGCCTCTAACTGACTCAACCACTTTCCTCTCTATTTTTTCTTTTACCTTGTTTGATTTTTAATGAAATGGACATTTTTTCCAGAAGAAAAAAAGAAATGAAATGTTTTTCATTCATACCAGAGTGAGCAGGAATGCCACTTAGACAATGCAGTTTGAGTATTGGTTAGCTGCCCAGGTTTCTTGTTCCACCAGGCAGCACTCCTTGTGAAGAGGAGCTTGTTACTGCTGGATACTCTTTCTGTGGTGCATCACAGAAGGTGCAGCCCAGCTACCATGTCAATGGAACTGCAGATGGGGTTCACATGAAATAGACAAAATGCTAGCTTCGATGGAAATACCTCTGTTTTAAGATGAAACTTTTTTTCTGTCCATGTAAGTCACACCCACTAAAATCTGTTCTTCACCTAAAATGCTTTTTACAAAAGCATTTGGATTTTCTTATCAGCCCAGTTCCAAAATGTTCTACAGTCAATCGGGAGATAACTGTGCTGGGCTGACACAGGTTTGTGCAGTCCTCTTATTAATGGTTTGTCAGGAACCAGGAAGGGAGATGCCTGAATGGCATTAGGCTGTGTATGCTCAGTCTCTCAAAAGTGATGGAAAACACAGACAGTGCTCTACTGAGCAACTGGCTGCCATTTGCAAATCTGCACACAGATTACTTTTAAGTGAACTGAGGAACAAGCTGCCCTGTCCTGACCCAAACACACCTCTGAATTCTCTGCACCAATACACTGCTGAGGGGTGTGCCCAGAGCTGTTGATAAGGTAGGATTTGCAAGGTTTTAGCTGCAACGTGAGCTTTTCAGGGAGGGAGCACAAACTCCTTGTTGTCTCATGCAGCTGTCCCTGCCTGCAAGTGAATTTGCTAGCAAGACAGAGCATACAGCTAACGAGTGACCTGGGCAATGGGCACAGCTAAAGCAGTGGCTTCAGCCTTGACCTCTCCGACTCAAACAGCAAATATTCAGGGCATGAGTTCACAGGGGCCAGCAGGCATAACAGCAAGGAAGGGTGAGCCACACAGATGGATGGAAGATCAGAAAGATCTCGGACTGGGAGTACGCTTGTGGAACAGGAGAAGGCTCAGAGCCATCTGAGAGCACAGATAGCCTTCACAAGAGGCAATCTGTGAGAAGTGTGTTCTCCCACAGCTCTCCCTGGTCTTGTGCCACAACCTAACCATATCGTTCTGAATCTACTAAGGAGAGCTAGATGTTGGCAAGATGTTTTCCACCTTGCGTAAGGACTTTCAGGGCCAACTTACTTACTTTCAAGTAATCCAGTGCCACGAAAGCTCCCATGAGGGGCAAGCAACCTGGTTTCCCAGTTGTCTCAGGAAGCACAAGATGATTTTCTCTGAAATCACACCTTTCTCCTTCAAAGCTTCTGTGTATATTTCGTAACTTTTACATATGTCATTTCTGTACGACAGCCACAGCTCCCACCTGGAGTTTTACAACATTGTCCACATGTTACCTTTCGGGCAGGATACAAATGTGTTACTGATACTATTTTTGCACTTCAGAGAGAAAGTGAGAGAAAAAGAAAGCAGAAGGAATGGAGTTGCATGCCAAGTGCCAAACTGTGGCTCACCTTGCACTGAGAAAAAGAGAATGCAGAAGATCCGCCTTTCCCATTACTTGGCAAACAGAGAAGGGGTCTCTTTCTGGGCACAGGGACCAACACCATCCTGAGCTGCCAGCAGCCACATTGCCGGTCAGACTGGGGAGGGCACAGCCACTCCCCACCCCCAGCAGTCACGGCAGCCACAGAGGCTCAGCAGATGTGGTGCAGTGACACTCGGGCAGTGCCGAAGGCTGTGGCAGGTCTCAAGTAAGAGCAGGAGAAGCCATGAGCAGACCACGCTGTCAAGAGGGGATTGGTCACATTGTGCCTCTTCACCACTTTTACTGCTGCGGTGCCTCTGCGCTCTGCCATGAGACCCACACACTGCACTTCCTCAATTAACAGGGGAGAAATGACGTGGGTTGTTTCATTCTCTCCCCAAATGCAGTATGCCGGGAGCAGTCGATCCAGCGCAAGGAGGCCTAGCTGCATGGAGAGGCACTCCATGAGTGCTGCTGGGATGGGGGCAGGATATCCAGCAAGGCACACGCAGCTAGAGTGGGCCTTCATTGATCCACAGCCTTCACACTGCCAGTGCTTTGTTTCTTTCTGCAGTCTGAAGGCAGAAAGCACACGGATCCTTTCCTCATGTTTCCAGCACAGGTAAGATCCCTGTGGAAGTAATGGAAACAAGTACGGATGCACAACACCAACTGTAACTATTGCAGAGATCATGTAATGCAAAGTAAAAGCGGAAAAGGGGGCTCTGAAGAGGATTTCAGCGCTCAGATAGAGGTCTCATTTAAAAACCCAAATAGAGTGACAGCTCCCGATCAAGAGCCACAGAATGTCTGCAAGCAGACTTATCCGTCAGGCACTTCCCAGTGGTACCAGTCCTCATCCTTGTAGACAAGCAAGCACAAATGTTTGTGAGTAGAACAACA